TAGACCTCTATAAATGTCCTTTGCCTCCCAGTTCTTTCCTCTATTTCCTTCCTGTCCCAGTATCATGTTCAACCTTCATTCGAGTTTTGGTAATTTCTCTCGGCTACATGGCCCTTGATGGAGGGCCCCCCTCCCCCAGCATCCTATACCCTCCTCGCCATCAATTTTAGATCATTTATTCTTCCCTTGTCCCTGGGTTTGTTGGCACCCTCCTCCTTTTCCTCCACCTAGCCCTCTCCTGTGTTCCCCGGAACTGTTGGTCCCATTGTTCTCTCCTACGGATTGTTAATCCCACATGCATAGACAATAATACACGCAAAAACAAACCAAAGCAAAACATAACAAAAAAAAGAAGACAAAAACATAAATCAACAACAACTCATACAACAAAATAAAGAAAAAAAGAGAAAAAGAAAAACCAACAGCAAAAACTAAAAAGCCCCCAAACACTTCCAGGTCTGTCTGTTAACCTTGATGAGTGTTTTCCAGTGGAGTCCACTGGGGTGTCATACCCTGGCCCCCAAGTCCACCCCTGGAAATCCTCGAGGACTTCATTGCTTTGCTCCCCTTGCTGCTCCGCTGTACACCCTTAGTGTTTACCCCAGTGCAGTGGGGTTGGATTGGACACATCTCCCACATTGTGACCCCCGTGCTGTCCCCCTCAGCACTATGTGTCAGCGAGGGACACATTACCCTGTTTCGTGATGGGGCCAACTCTGTGATCCTCTCTGTGTATTGGCTGCTCTGAGAAGGAATATTGTTCTCAGGGCTTGGTAGGCCGGATGTGTTCCACTCTCTCCTTCTCTCTTCGTTTGCTCCTGATCAGACGCGTCCCACTTTCTGAGCTGCAGCTTTAATGTTGTCCTCTGAAGTTCACTCCTCTGGGGTAGTGAGTAGGGAGTACCCACGTCATTGGGATTGGGGGTCAGCCCTACTGACCTCTCTATTGGTTTGCAGTTCATGCTTTCTCAACATAACTTTCATCAATGTCTATACACCTCTGAAAGCAATGTTTCCATCTCTCTAATCTTTCCTTGAAGAATTCGGTGTTCCCCAA